GTTAGGAATGGGGGGGGACAGATTGTTTAATGGGTATTTTCATAAAATGTATTCCATCGGGCTTTAAAAATATCCAAATTAAGACATAAAATTAAAGTTTTTTATTTAAATATTGTTTCGGAAAAAAATAATAAAAAATGTATTCCATTTGATAACTTATTTCCACTGCAGCCGTTAAAAAAGTTTAAGTAAAAAAATCAGCATAAAACAATTCTATAATGCAATAAATAAATAAAAAACTAAACTATATTTTTCATTTTTCATTCAATAATAATAATCATAAGGAAGGTAATATCTATTTGAATTGTTGTAAATGGGCCTGAAACTCTTTTATTTGAGAGTCACTTAAAAATACGTCGAAAGAGAGCTTAAAAATCTAAACTTTTTATTCAAAACTTTTTTGTATGACAGAGTTATCTAAATATTTCTGCAAGTTTGCTAATTCTAAATATTTTATACGTCTAATTGTTTCAAATTCTCCTAAATCCTCTTCATGAAACAACTAAAAGGTTGCAATTTTCTTGTTTTTGCAAATTCACTTGGAGGATTCGCAAATTTGAATAATGGGTATTATCTACATTCAAACATGCGAACCCGAATCTATGATTTTTATAAAATTAAACGACTGACAAACCAAAATATTAGACATTGACCGATTTGCCTCATATTTTGATTGGGTAACTCTGGAATGTTTTTAGCTTTTTTAATACATCCTTACATATATATATACATCCTTATATATATGAGCGAAGAAAGAGCTTTATCATATAGATACTTTACTTGTTTTTAACTTTAGTCTTTCGGTTGTTATTGGCTAAATTCGCATAGATTTATTCATAGATTTTCGCATAGATTTTCGCGTGAGAGCTTCCACACTTTTGATCGCATGTGTACGCCATCTCTATAAAAGAGCAAAGAAGAATAAATTAGATAAACTTTATTCATAAAAAAAAAAATCTTAAAAATGTGCAATAATATTTTATTTGATAAAGTATCTTAATGTTTTTAAAAGAAACAGAATCATGAAAAGTCTCCCGTTGATCTTACTGAAAATATAGGAATGGTTTAAATTTTAATATTTTGGTTTAATATTTGGAATGAATTTATGGAAATAATCACGCTTACATCCAAGAACGAGGGAGGGTTTAATAACA